GTAGTCTCTAACTCATATACTCTACCTCCACTCACCCCTTCCTCCACCATTCATTCCACTGTCCTAGATCTCAAAGATGCCTTCTTCTCTGTGCCCTCACACCCAGACTCCTACAACCTCTTTGCTTTCACTTTGGAGGATCCTGACACTCACACTGCCTCCCAGCTCACCTGGACTGTTCTACCCCAGGGGTTTAGAGACACCTCTTTGACCAAGCTCTGGCTACTGATCTCTGTTCCCTAGACCTTTCACCTCGTACATTGCTGCAATATGTAGATGATCTTCTCTGTTCCCCTTCCTTTTCTTGTCCAAGTTACACACAAACTCCCTCTTTAAGTTTCTTGATTCTAAGGGATATAGGGTCTCTCCAGCTAAAGCCTAACTCTCTCTCACACAGGTGAAATACCTTGGCTTTCTCCTCACCCTCACCTCCCACCAGCTCACCCTAGATCACAAAGGACGCCTTTGTTCCCTTGCCCCACCTACCATGAAAGATGAAATCCTTTCATTTCTCGTGGATCCCCAACTTTGTTCTCTCTAAGCTCCTCTATCATGCTGCCAAGGGGTATCCTCATAAGCCCTGGGACCCAGTGCCTGAAGAGGCTGCTGCCTTCTCCCATTTATGAGATACTCTGCTGGAGTTTCTGGCCCTGGCTCTCCCAGACTTTAACCAGCCCTTCACCTTATATACAAAAAGGGGACTGGCTGTGGGAGTCCTGGGACAGATGAATGGACCTTTGTTTGTCCCTGTAGCCTACCATGTTAAAGAATTGGACGCCTCCACAAGGGGCTGGCCATCCATGTCTGCGTGCCCTCACCTCAGCAACCCTCTTGGCCCAAGAAGCACAGAAGCTTACTTTTGGTTAGAAACTAACTGTTCTTTCTCCCCATAGACTCAAGGACAGCCTAGCTTCTGTCTATCAACCCTAACCCCATCTAAACGCCTACATAATCTCTCCTTACAGCCACATCATGGATTTCTATCCTTAACTCTATACTCCTCTTAGTTAACCAATACAACGTAACCAACCATACTGCCTGCTTTCTCTGTGACCCATTTTCCTTATGACCCTTGATCACAGCTGTCCTTCCGTTTAAGGTTACCTCCATTCTAAGCTCTTCTTGCTCACGGGACCCCCATCTTCTATGACAATCTCCCCTTTCCCTCAGAGCATGTTGACTGTTAGAATACAGATATTTCCCAGCACTGGCTTGAATCTTTAAAAAACTCTACAGTCTCAAAAATCACACCCTTCCAGCTGAAATTTACTTCTGGTAAATTCCAGCCCTATATAACTGAACACAACTCTATATAACTGAATCTCTCCCAGCCAACACCTGGGCCTTTATGTTCCAGTTACCCTAGTCCCCAACCTTACTCTCTATACAGAGACTTTCTGCAGACCTAAGTGCTGTGGTCACAGGAACATCTAAGGCCCTCCAACAGCAACTTACTTCCTGGGTGTCAGTAGTTCTTCAAAACCAATGGGCTTTGGACCTCATTACAGCAGAAAAAGGGGGAGCCTGCCTTTTCCTAAAGGAAGAATGCTACTACTATGTAAACCAGTCAGGACAAGTGGAACCAGAGATAAGCAACCTCCAAAATCCTAGCCAATCAACTCAAAACAGGAACAACTTCTTCTAGCTCCTGGGATGTCTTTGGATCCATTTGGCTCTAACTCCTAACCCTAATGGGCCTCCTAAGAAGAATTTTTCTCTTTCTCCTTTTAGCTCCTTGCCTCCTAAAACATGCACAAAGCCAAGTGAGCTGACTCAAATACCAAACCTTTAATCAACTTCTACTACCTTGTCCTACTTCTATTCCTTACCAGCCCCTGGCCACCTCAGAGCTGACTCTCTATGGACCAGTCAACCACTGACCAGCATCCTTTGAGAGACTCAGCGATCTGCCCCACAAGAAGCACATACAGAAGCAAAACACCACCCCTATCACTAACAAAAAGCTGGACTGTTAGGTCAAACTGTGCCCCCAAGATGGAGTCACTATTGACCAACAATATGGTGATCACAACCTGGTGGGCAGCATTCCAGGAAACAGGAACTAAGTTACCCTAGTTTCTCAGCAACCACCTAATCATAACAGGAATTTTCCATCATAGCCAATGGAAAAACTGAAAAACACCTAACTGAATCCCCCACCAAGGCACCTGCTACTGACTCACCTTCCTGCTATAGTCCACAAAAGAAACATTGTATAAAATCCAGCTTGCTGTGACAAGAAACCACTGCTCCCTTTCTCCTGTGGGAGCAGTCCAGCAGCTCATCCATCCCAATAAATTTTAGAAACCCTTTTTGGTGGTTAGTTTTTATTGTCAACTTGAATACATCTGGAGTCAACTGAAGGACATGCTTCTGAGTGGGTCTGTGACATGCTTTAAGTGTGGGGTGGGACCCCCCAGAGCAAACAGAGGTCCAAGGGAAAGGCAGAGCTGCATGTTTGCCTGATTTCAACTCTTTAAAAAATGTTTATCTTTGTGTATGTGTGTGTCTGTGTGCATGCCAGGTGTGTGGGTGCCTGTGGAGGCTGGGAGATGGTGTTGGATCCCCTGGAGCTGAAGTTACAGGTGGCTGTAAGGCCTCCTACATGGGTGCTGGGAACTGGGTCCTCTGCAAGAGCAGTACGTGTTCTGAACCACTGAGCCAGATCTCCAGCTCTAGCCTTCAGTTCTTGATGGTGAATCTGTCTGTCCCATTGTCGTTACTGCTGCCATCCTTCACTGGCATCAGAACCCAGCTTCTTCAGCCGTCTAATACAGTTGAAGACCAGCAGCTCCCCAGGAATCCTCCAGGCTTTCAGTGTTGAGGTACATAGTGACACGGACTGAGCAGCTACCGGGGTCTCCACCACTCTAGCAAGCAAACAGCCACTTACTACCCAGCCCATATCAGCTAAGGTGATCGAAGAAATCCCTTTTGTAATGTATATTCATTCTGTCTGCATTGTTCCTCTAGAGAACTGTTCCCTTAAGTTACTTCTCTAGTCACAGCAACAAGAAGAGTAACAAATACAGTAACAAATCTCCTCCCAATAGATAGTTAGTCACAGGCAGATCAGGGTTTGTGGGCACCTTAGGTGAGTGAATGGAAGTCCTCTAGACCAACATGCTTTAGATTGACCTTGGGCTCTGCCCTTAGTGTGTGAAACAGAGCCTGGTCATTGGAAGCCCCGCCTCTTGCTTCTCCTTGGCTCTAGTGATACAGGATGACTGAATGTTCCTGCCTCATTCTATAGGGAGCAAAGCAGCTGCTCTGAACATGGACTATGAGGAGGATAGTAGATCGATTGCTTCCATCATCTATTACAGTATCTCCTGTGGTGTCTGCTCTGTCTCTTTCATAGAACAGGGATCTCAAACTTTCTCCCTGCAATGTTGTTTCATTACCACCAGGCTTCTAGTTAGCACAAGGAAACATAGATGCCTCTAAGCATTGCTACATGTGTTCCAGCATGTTCTCAAAGGGAGGTAGCTTCTCCACATACGTGTGTGTGTGTGTGTGTGTGTGTGTGTGTGTGTGTGTGTTTCTAATGTGGCATATTCATTAGCTATGAATTATGGTGAGCACACTTTCCAAAAGCCTTTATTTTAAGAGCAGCTAGAGTTAGAAAAATTACTTAGAAGCTAAGTTCGTAACTTTGGAGTCAGACACCCTCAGACAGAACTACAGTTATGCTACTACATATGTAAGTGAGTATAAATTGCTTAAGCCATCTGATTCAGGTTCTTCAACTACAAAAATATGGATTTAATAACCTTCTTTTCATGAATTTTCCAAGGGCATTAAGATAGCTTAATTAGTGCTTTTCGCACACTAGACGATACGCTCACCATCATTCCATCCTCATCATAACCATCCCACTTAATCAATGTCAAGAAGCATGCCGTGGTAGTAAATAACTTTACAGGCATATATGGAACTTGCTTTTCTATAGCACTGTAGGGTTGCAGTTTGTTTGTTTTTTTTGCCATGTGACTCAGGCTATCAGCATAATAGCACCAACAGGCAGAAATTTGTAAATAGGACACGTTACCTCAAAGAGACCTGGCTGAGGCTGCTGGGCTGTGACTCTTCTTTCCTTCCTCTGGTTGTTACAAAGGTAAACATGAGGGAGCAGACAGAATTCAGACATAAGGATGACTCTGCTCAGAAGCAGAGCCCACTAGTTTCTAAAACAACTCAACTGAGGAAATCACACAATGAAGGCTTCCACTGGATGTGATGCCCAGTAGAGGCTTATCCATCAACTTGGTTTTGGTCTGGGCTTTAAGTTGTCAGCACATTTGGAATCTGATAAAGATCACACTTCTTTTCTTGACTGAAAAATGTAAAAGATTTGGATTCAATTCAATAGTAAACCAATAAGCAAAAGTATATCTTTCTAGGTCTTTTGGTATCAAAATTTGGGAACCATAATCTGTTGAGTGAGGCTGAGTTTTCACTACAGTGAAGTCCATTCATTGCTAACATCGCACATCATGCCAACTGGTAGAAACACGATAGAACAATGATAGAAATATAGAAGATCCAAAGGTGGAATGTAAGAGAGAACATGTGTGTACCTAGAAGAGCACAATAGCATCAACTGGCAACGCGTGGCTTGGTCCAGCACAAACTGTCTGCAACAAAGGGTGAGTGAGGGGCCACAGTAGGGTGACCTGCTCTCTGACTCTGCTAACTGACCCACACTCCTGATCCAGGCCCCAGAACAAGCAAGTCCACTGAAGACCAGTTGCCAGCACAGATTGTAGGGATGATGATGGGCAAAGTGATCAAGAGTCTAGAGAAAAGTGCTGAAGAATTGTTTATTGTTTGGTAACAAAGAAGAAGAGGGGCTTTGAAGTCAGGGGTGAAAATTCAGAACTTTCCACACAGTTTCAGCATCTCAAGGCTCAGGAAGTTGACAGGATGAGGAGAGAACATTGGGCGGGTCTTCTGCTCTTGACTTCCTCCTGTCCTGCTAGAGGTCCTCATGGTCCAGGTCAGCAACAGCCCCCAGACTGCTGGCCACTACCACAGCTGCTGCCACTGCTGCTGCCACAGCATCCACCGCTGCCTCCACTGCTGCCACAGCATCCACCGCTGCCTCCACTGCTGCCACAGCATCCAGAGCTCTGGTGTCTGTGACGTCGGAGAGATCTGCGGGGCCTGTGGTGGCTCAGGCACCAGCCGCCGCCCCCAGATCTGCAGCAGCCCCCAGAGCTGGAGCCACAGCAGCCCCCAGAACCAAGGCTACAGCAGGAAGGGGCAGGAGGGCACTTAGGGGGGCACTTTGGGGGGCACTTTGGGGTCTGGCACTTGGGAGGACACTTGGGGGTGCACTTGGGAGGTGGCTGGCACTGCTGCTGGCTCTGCTGGCAGGACATCTTGGCTGGTGAGTGTTCAGGAGCTGAGGGAGAGTCAAGTCAGACACACTTCAGACCCAGGACCCTTAGGCCACCTTGCCCCCCCTTGTCTTCTGAGTATCACTATTGTCATTGAAACACTTGCTGGCTCTGCTGGCAGGACATCTTGGCTGGTGAGTGTTCAGGAGCTGAGGAGAGTCAAGTCAGACACACTTCAGACCCAGGACCCTTAGGCCACCTTGTCCCCCCTTGTCTTCTGAGTATCACTATTGTCATTGAAACACCATCTTCATAGTTTTACTTCTAACAGTCTCAAAGGTCCTTTGCAATACTGGTCTGTAGAATGAAATCATCTTGCAAACTTTGACAAGATGAAAGTAGTGTGTTTTTAAAAAATACATTTCCCCTGAAACGATCCTTAAGTTGAAAGACTTCATAATCTGAAGGCATGTTTGGAACAATTTCTTCCTTGACTTAAAATTCTCCGGTTAGACATCTTTGTGTCATTTCACTTTGTCTACTTTTAATGTATGACATGGCAAACATCATGTGACTTCTATGGTTTATCTGAGATTCCCAAGACATGATGACAATGATGGTGTCAGAGAATGAAACAGAAATCACTAAGCTTACCCCCTTAAAGGAAAGAACTAATATATCTATTCCTGCAAAGCTGAACCCAGGTCAGGTCTCTGCATTCAGGCAAGTTTGAGCTCAGCCCACCACCTGCTTATGCTGGCTGGTTGGCACAGCAGGTCTAAGGCTAGTGGCGTCTTAAAACTCCTGAGAAGTCCGGGACCGAATTCCAGATCCGCAGCTCTGTGAGCTCTCCAACCCCAAAGGCTCAGCCAGGGATATTATTAAAGGATGCTTTCCCCTCCTGAGGCCTGTCCAAGGTGCACCATTCTCTGTATTTCAGTATCCCAACCTGAAGGGCAGATTATTCTCACCAGATTTGGAATCCACAGGTGCTCAATTCATTCCAATGCACCCCCTGAGTGTCAGAGTCCCTTTGACCCCTCGTTTTCATTCTTCCCCATACTCTCTGCTCTGTTAGCATGGCCTCCTGGGTTTGGGGCCCTGCCCACTCTCCCCTCCAGCTCTATGCTGAGCATCCCTCTGGTACAGGCCTTGCTCCTGCTCCCAGTGGACACTTACCAAGTCTGCAGGCAGCACGAAATTCGTAGGCACCTCTGGAGGTGAGTGGATGGAGTGCTCTGTCCCTCAGTCCTTTTATTCTGATCTTGGGTTCTGCTCCTGGTCTGTGAGACAGTAACTGGGCGTAGCAGGCCCTGCCTCCTGACACCCACATGGTCTTGTGACTGATGATGATCAGACATTCCTCATCAGCCTTCCTCTACAGGGCTCGGGGATGCTGTACCCAGCTTGAACTGATTTAGGCATGAGGTGAGGAAGTGAATTCCTTGCGGGTACCTGACGAATTCCTGCCATATGAGCATCTCATCGCTCAGCTTGGTCACCTCTTCCTAAAGTGATCCACATTCCAAGCTCCAGGCAGAGCGACCAAAACCTCGCGGTCTTCATGCCTACTTCCATTTCCGCACACCATATGTATTGTGGATGGCGCGTGCTGTCCTTCCTTTACTTCACCCTTCCCTGCTCTCGTTAGTCTCCTTTGCTCCTCTAGATGGTTTCACTTCTACTTTTGTGTCGTATTTACATGGACAGTCTTATGTAGCCGCATACAATTTAGAAAGAAAAAATGAGAGAAAACATTTATTTGTTTTTCTACAACTGTTTAAATTCGCCTACAAAGTTTTGTTCTTCATGGTGAAAAAATTCCATTTGTGTGTGTGTGTGTGTGTGTGTGTGTGTGTGTGTACAGATGTGAGTGTATGCATGTGTATATAGACAGATATGTGTGTGTGAGAGAGAGGAGAAAGAGAGAGAGAGAGATTTCCTTTATCATTCCTCTATTTTTAGATACTTAGGTTGGTTTCATAGTTTAGCTGCTGTGCGTACCCTATAATAATACTTGGTATGCAGGTATCTGTGCTATGTTGACTTTGAGTCCTTCAATTAATGCCCAGGAATACATAGCTAGATTGTAATAACAGGTATATTTTTAATTTTTTGAGAAACTTTATGCTAACTTCCATTGTTGCTGAACTAGTTTGCATTCTCACTTGTGGCATATAAGGGTTGTTGTGTGACCCATCTTCACCAGCGTATCTTGTCTTATGATTTCCTACCTTCCTTCCTTCCTTCCTTCCTTCCTTCCTTCCTTCCTTCCTTCCTTCCTTCCTTCCTTCCTTCCCTGCCTCCCTCCCTCCCTCTCCTTCTTTCCTTCTTTATTTCTCCTTTCTTTCTTTCTGATTGAGACAGGATCTCATTAGGTAGTATGTAGCTCTGCCTGGCCTAGAACTTACTACGTAGACCAGGTTGACCTCAACTCACAGAGATCCCCCTGCCTCTGCCTCTCAAGCACTGGGATTAACAGCGCGTACACCCAGCTGTCATATGTTTTCTTAATGATTGCCATTCTCAGTGGGGTAAGATGGAATCTCAGTGTGGGATTTACATTTCTTCTATGACTAGTGAGTTTGAATGTTTTTATCAAATGTTTATTGACCATTTGTATTTCACTTTTTGATAATGGTCTTATTTTTGTAGCCCATTTATTGATTGAGTAGTTTGATTTGCTTTAGCTTTGCAGGTCTTTGAACATACACCTACTAATCTTCTGTCAAATACATAGTAATACGGCAATGATTACTACCTGTTCTCTAGGTTCTCTTCACTCAACCGTTTCCTTTTATGTACAGAGTATTTCTGATGTCATGAGCTCCTATTTATCAATGATATTTATTTCCTGAGCTACTGGAGTAACATTCAGAAAGTCCTTGCTTACACTGATATTTTGAAATGTTTCCCCCACTTTTTCCTCTAACAGTTTCAGAGTTTGAGTTTGACCTTACATTAAGGCTTTTGATCCACTTGGAGTTGATTTTTTGTGTAGAGTGAGAGAGAATTTAATTTCATTCTTTACATGTGGATATCCAGTTTTCCAGACGGGGTTGGCTTTTCTCCAATGTGTATTTTTTGGCATCTTTGTAAAAAATCAGATGACTATAGCTACCTGTGTTTATATATGGGTCTTCCATTCTATGCCTCCGATCTATATGTCTGTGTTTCTGTGAGCACCAGGATGCTTTTGTTACTATGTCTCTGCAGTAGAACTTGAAATTATGTATGGTGATAACTCCGTAATTATTTTATTCTGCTCAGGAGTATCTTGACTATCTGTGGTCTTTTATTTCCATATAAATTGTAAGATGACTTTTGCTGTTTTTGTGAAGAATAACATTGAAATTTTGAAGGAAATTGTGTTGAATCTATAGACTTCCTTTGCTAAGCAATTTTCATAATATTAATTCTTCCTATGGGATGAGAAGTCTTTTCATCTTCTAGCATATTTTTCAATTTTTTTGTGCAGACTTTAAAGGTTTCATCGTGGAGGTCTTTCACCTCCTTGGTAAGATTTATTCCGAGGTATTTTCTGAGGCAATTGTGAATGGAACTGTTTTCTTGATTTCTTTCTCAGCATGTTTATTATTGTTATATATAAAGACTACTGATTTTTTTAAGGTTAACTTTGTAGCCTACCACTTTTCTAAAGTATTTATCAATTCTAAGTGTTTTCCGGTGGAGTCCTTAGTATAGAATCATACCATGTGCAAATAAAGATACTTTGACTTATTCTTTTCCTATTTATGTAATTTTTATTGCTTTCTCTTGTCTTATTGCTATAACTAAAACTTCAAGCACTGTATTGAATAAGAAAGGACAAATTGGACACCATTGTATTTTTCCCAATTTTGAAATATTTTGAGGTTTTCTCCATTTAGTATAGTGATAAACTTTCTGAAGAAACTCATCTCAACATAATAAAGGCTATATGTTACAAACCTAATTTCTCCAATTCTTTAATTCAGTCACAACTATAATCTACAGTGTTTGGATGGAATGTTCTGTAGAATTATATTAAGTTCATTTAATCTGTGATGTGATTTACTTCAGATGTTTCTCTATTTTTTGTCTGGATGCTCTGTCTATTTAAATCACCCACTATTATTGTGTAGGATAATCTGTGTCTTGATATCTTGTAATATTCATTCATGAAATTGTGTGTGATCATGTTTAGCAGTTACATGTTTAAAAGTTTAATGTCTTCTTGAAAGATTGTTCCTTTAATAAGACGCAGTGAATTTCTGTATCTCTTCAGACTAGTTTTAGCTTAATATTTGTTTTTTAAATATCAGGTCAGTGCTTATCTTGTACTTCCATTTGCTTAGAATAACTCTTTGTTTTTCTTACCCTAACCTAACGTCTGTTTTTGATGATGAAGTTCTTGGAGGCAACAAGTAGGTGGATCCTGTTTTTCAATACCTTCTACTCCTTTGTGACTTTTGATTGAGAAACTGAGATCACTAATATTCAGAGGCTTTTGAAAGGTGTGTGTTAATTGCTATCATTTTGTTCATTCTGTAGCACTTGGTAATTTCCCACTTTATGTGCTTAACTACCGTTCTGGCGTGTTTCATTCTTTCTCGTAGCCCCTTGGATTTTTATAGTTTCTCTTCAGCATCCTATGGAGAGCTGTCTTACTGACTATGAATTCCTTGAGCTTGCTTTTATTGCGGAAAACTTTTCTTATATGACAGATGGTTTTGCTGGATATAGTAATCTGGACTGACAGTTGTCTCTCAGGACTCGAACTGCGTTATTCCAAACCTTTCTACCTTTCAAAGTTTCTGGGGAGAAACCTGCTGTTACTCTGATGGGCCTGCTTTCATATGACGTGGTGCTTCTTATGCTTGCAACTTTCAACGTGCTTTCTTTGATCTGTATAGTTAGTGCTTTAACTCTAAAAGGAGGTGGTGAAGTTCTGTCTTGCTTGGTTTCCCATATGCTTCCTGCACCTGGATGGTCCTACTGGTATTTTAGAATCTGCTACATACCATGTCGCTTACATGAAACTATGATAAATTATTTGGAAA